CTCCTCCCAATTCTCGACTATGCCGATGTCAGCTATCTAAATCTCACTGAAGCACAACTCGATAAGCTTGAGCGACTACAAAATATGTGTATACGATTCGTATTTGGTTTACGAAAATACGATCACGTCTCTGAATTCCGTCAAATGCTCAAGTGGCTTCCAATTCGCTCTCGCCGGAATACTCATATCCTTATTTTCCTTTACAACATTTTGTTTAATCCCAAAACCCCTTTCTACCTCAAAGAACGATTCAAGTTCCTTAATGACACACACGAAAAATGTCTGCGGTCATCCGTAAGTTTACAACTGGAGATGTCATTGCATTCCACCAAATTTTATGACCAATCCTTCACTGTCGAAGCTGTGCGCTTGTGGAATGCACTGCCGCTTAACATCAGGCAGGCGCAAACATTAAATAGATTTAAGAAAAAGGTACAGGAATTTTATTCACCTTAATTGAGTCCATCACGCTTGAAGGTGTAACGAAACTGTTTCTCTTTTCTATATGTTTATTCATTTAAGAATGCGTATATATATATATATATATGTATGTGTATATGTATATTTGCTGGTATAGTATGTAGGTACTTATTTATTGTGATATGCATTGTAGATGTAAGTATAAAAATTGAAAATGTTTGTAGATAATACAATATGTGTAGTATATGTAATATGTATAGTAGATAATAATAAACAAATAGTAGGTTCACAAATGCAGATATTCAACTACTACTGTCTCTCTGCAACTTTTGATCCATCCTAAGGTTGCCTGGAAGAAATTGCATTTAGCAATAAGGCCGCCCTTTGTACACTCGATATTTGATCGTTGTGTTCCTTTCTTGTAACTCTGTAATTTAGTGTGCAAATAAAGAGTTATCTATCTATCTATTTATCGATCTATACCAACCCGTCTGGCCAGCGTGGTATAGTAGGCCCAAACCTCCTTTCTGTTTCAAGGCTGTTGATGATTGATGATGATAATAATGTAAGCAACAGCTCCAGTAGGTCGCATAACTGTAACTCGAACGGGCTATTGCAGGCAAATAGAGGCCCTTTAATGATAGAATATAGTTCACTTTCACTTAAAACGAAAGTTACATTTAATTATATTAAATCTTAACGGTTTTAAGCAATTCTTTAGCTAATCAAACAAATTCTGATCTGAATATTAAATGAAGTTACAGAGGGTAATTGTAGCCGCGCCGTGTTAATAATTCAGAGATTTTACAATTGAATCCACGATACCTGTTATTAAATATGTAAATTAGTTATTTATTCAACCCCAATTTTAGTAAGGGGAGCTCTTTATGCCAACTTTAGTGTACGCCTGTCACGTCAAATAAGAACTGAAGACTCAAGGTTTCTTCTCTCCTGGTGTTTTATATGACATTTATATGACATCGGAAGTTTTCATTAGTAGATTGATTAATGACTAAATTTCTCGATAAATTAAAATGTAGTCTAGTCTCTACGAATTAATATATTACTTGTGATTGATTTGATTTCCTGTCATTTTTTGAGGAGTTCCGTTGTCTGTCTACAAAACTCTAAATCTACATGAGATTTAAATGGGACCATTTCGTAATAAACCCCTTTTGAACAAAAAAAGAATTTTGAAAATCGTCTCTATATAACAGAGTTATTCCCGAACATACATTAAAATAATTAAAAACTTTCGAATTGAGAACCTCCTGTTTGGAGTAGGTTAATGAATAATTACTATTAAAATCTTATCCTGGGAGGGTTATGATACCACGACCTCACGCATAACCTGTGTTAGGCACTTCTTTCGTTGCTTTTTACCGATTGAGTGTGGTTACCTAAGCCCAAACTGTGAAGGGGGGGACGCCATGGGCGGCGGCCCGCTTCTGACTCTTGAGTTTTAGAGGTCCTGTGACGGTAGCAACTTACCATCGTGTGACCCGTCTGCTCTTTTGCTTCTATACCATTAAATAATCAATGAAAACTTATTTTATTTCTTTTCTCGGTAAATCTACTACGAGTGCAATATAAACAACAGTAAAATTAAAAAACGACTAATTGGGATAAAAGTACTAAATGTGGGTGTTTTAATACGTTTCTGTTTACTCCATCGGTAATACAGACTTGAGTGTAATAATGATGAGTTTGTAGTAGTATTACAGCTTCCAAGAATACTGTATATATATATATATATATATATATATATATATATATATATATATATACAGTATTCTTGGAAGCTGTAACACTATAATATATATAATACTATATATAATATATATACATCATTATCATCCTCCGAGCCAAGCTACTATTTTTCCTAAAGTAGGTTGGGGTCGGCTTGCAATCTACTAATGGCTGAACTTCAATTATTATGTCAGAACTCGGGCGACTGCCATCAGAGCTCTACACCCAAGTACTAGGCGATATTGAAGTTCTGTAGATAGACTACTGTTGGTCTTATTAGGATTCTAACTACCCGAAACGATTGCCATAGATGTTCGTATAGCCACCGGGACCGACGGCTTAACGTGCTCTCCGAGGCATGGAGAGCTCTCAAAGTATTAAGAACAGTCACCCATCCATGTACTAAGCTGGCTAGTATTGCTTAACCTTGCAATGTACTAACCTACTCGGTTACCACTTAGTCACTAGTCCCTTACATGGTACCGCCATATAACATAACAAATATATGAGACTAGTAATTTTTATGTGTTAGTTAATTAGCAACCAATACAAATGTGTCCATTGTATGTATAATATAAAAGTCATCCACTGCATAATTCTGATTTGAATTTACGGCATTAAAATACATTTTTAAAAAGTCTATAATAATATATTTATTATTTTACGAAATGCAATTTCTCAGTAAGATCAAAGACAACAGCACTAATCAAAATTATTAATTGAAGAAAATGAAACAATCCCGCCTCGTGGTCTCAACCATAACGTAAAATTTGGATTATTTATTATACTCGTAAGGCGGGCACTGGCGGCGATACAAGCTAATTTACTAAATAAATATTGGTTCAATCAAGCCCTCGTTCTTGGCTTGTTTTCTCTAATTGTTATTTTGTGCTGTGTTTGAGAGGAAAGTCTATAGAAAGTTTTGAAAATAATTTTGGGGACATATATAATTTATAAATAGTCCTGAAACGGTGGCAGCCTTCGAATTAATAACTTGAATGCGTTAGAATACTAAAGAATAAACACATAGTTGTATCTATTTTTGTATTCATCTTTTCAAGCTCTTTGCTTTGATATGTTTAGAAAAAAACTTTTTGACGCCAGAACGGTGAATTTTGTTATAATCGCACAATAAACACAACTTTTTTAAAACCTGTTTATTTAGGCGCTATCGGGTACTTATACTTTTATAAATAACTAGCTGTACCCTGCCACGCTTCGCTGTAGCACATTGTGGTTGCAAAAAATAGATAAAAATCAATATTAAAGCGTGTTGTACATCATGTCAAAATATCAGATCAACCGGTGCAGAACTTTTTAACTTAACATTTTTGTATCTATTGATTAATAGGTATTTATAGATAGTCTTATTTTATCTAATAATTTTGATTTCTGATACGAAGTTTCATTACATCCTAGATGAATCTCTAATATTTTGATTTATAGGCTCATTTAGACAGTCGATCTATGCAACTTATATCGAAATACGTTAAAAGATTACTGGGAAAAAGTCTTCTCGGCTCGGATAACGTTGTGGTTAATTTGGTGACCGTACTAACTAACAACGTGACGAGAGAGCAATCGGTAAAATTCCATCTCAGACAATTATTTGTATGAACCACTTGTATTTATTCAAAGACACAAAATGTAATTTTCATGAAGTCGACCTTTTTCAGTATTTACTAACCTGTTGGTCTAGTGATCCTGGCTGTTAATGCGATTCCCACCCAGGACAAATACTTGTGTAATGAGCACGACCATTTGTTCTGTGTTTGGGTATAATTTATCTATAATATGTGCGTATTTAGAACCATAGAAGTATGTTTATGAGCAATCTGGTTACCATAGGCTCTGCATAGTTTGGGATCAGAGGGCCGAGTGTGAGATCTGTGAAGTTATCAAAGCTTATCAGAGTATCAAATCGAGTGTCAAAAGTCACCACACTGATAGTGTCAAGTCAATATTGTCAAACCAATCCTTCTCTCCAATTTGGCACAGGATTATAAAGATGATTTATGAAATCGTTAAGTAAATAAAAATAAAAGTAATTTAAAATAAATAAAAATGAACCTATATAATAACCATTCAGTGACACAAGTAAGAATGAAAACAATATTTATCGTAAATTAAGTCTCTGCAATTCGTATTAACTCAGGTAAAAATCACATCAACAATCTAGAAAACAAGTAAAATAAATACAAGTCTAGGAATAGATCAAGGCCTACTTAGACAAAAATTTGATTAAGAAGTCAAATATATAATCAACAGTGAATTATACACAAATACTTGATGGTAGTAACAGACTTAGTTGGGTCTTGCAATGTATTTATATATAGCCATGTTCACAGATAAGACGTCCATTCTGAGTAGCATTGTTTTCAATAAATTAAACGTAGGACAAGAGGCCCGGAGTCCCGGACACTAGGTAAACAGCCCGGAGGCTCCGTCAACACAATTATTATACTCGGACAGCCACCCTCCGTGTCGATAAACACCCTCTAAATAAATTAACTGGACTCCATCCAACGTTTCTGCTGCGTTGTTTGAAAAAAGTTAGTAATTAATTAATGTCCCATAATAATTGTAAGAATCTTCTCATTTCAACTAAGTTTCATGACCTATTGGGGTTAAATTTTAGTTTCCCATTCATAAGAACATAACAGCTGTTAAGCTTCTATTCAATCCTAGTCTTAAAGAAATAATCGAGTTAATTGTTTACTATTATTGTTATTTTTTAAGAATCGATTTCTATTCACATATCTTGGAAATCAGTTACATTTGTAATAACTCACAATTCTTTATGATTGTTGCAGGTTGCTTTTAAATTGAAAATGGCGACTCCACGACCTCCGCCAGCAACAGGCACTCGTACAAAGAAACAGAACCATGCAAATATACCTTGCCCTATAGAAAATTGTGCCAGATTCACTTACGGAAAACTACCAGATCATCTTACTAAAATCCACGGCATTACCGGTGCTGACAGAGACGCTCTCAACGAACAACAACGAAAGAGGTTTTTTAATGGTGAGCTCTGCCAGGTCCGGTATCTCAAAGAATCTGCTATACGAGACCTATGGGGCACCGATTACGAAGATCCTCGGATACGTGCAAAAATACACCAAAGTTACGCTCTAGTCAAGATAAGGATTATACCGTTAGCAGCTACACAACGTGCACAACCTCTTACAGAACAAGACGCAAATGTTCTGACAGCATATAACGCAAGAACGGCGCCAAGACCGGCTCGAGTGCAAAAAACTCGTACAAGACCACGACCATATCCTGTACCAGAAGCCAGTCCAGTAGAACGTCGCGCGTCGACTGAATCCAGCGAAGAAGAAAATACTCAAAATCCCTTACCACCGTCACCACCTCCATCATCACCATCCCTTCCTGCTTCACCATCTCCTTACGAATTACAACCTGTTGAGACTCGTTTACGAGATATTTTTGATACAAAAGTTGATGCTGGATACAAAGCAGTAATAGATGACATGAAAAAGTCTATGACGATGGGTAGGACACTGGGTCCGAGAAAGCGAAAAGCTTATAGAACATACCGACGCTATGCGAAGAGATTAATTGCGTATCTCCACAGGCAACATTCTCCTTTGGCGTATGATGTAGATGTTCTTTTGTGCGGTGAGCGACAAGTTTGTGCTTTCTTAGAGCGTATCAGGTCCGAACATAAGACAAAAACTTTAAGGAATTATATCGTAGCGGCCATCAAGTTATTGGATTCACGACTATTCGCCATTGAAAGAGATCCTGCTTGCAAAGAAAAGGTTGCATCTATGACGCGAGTGTATGACGTCCTTCACGGACATCTTACCGAATGTGATAGATTGTTAGCGCAGAAGGACGTCCCATGTGAGAATGAGAAAAAGATATCTTTAGAAAGTGTTATGGAAGAAAGTTTCAACGACTCTTACGATGAGTTAGAATAAATTTAGTGAAGTAGATACCTATATATAAGCTTCTTCTAAAGTCCCATTGGTGTTTCGTCCTAGCTTTCAAATTAGCCCGATAAAGAATATGTTTAAAGATAATTAAGTTATTAGTTACCTGTAAATAGGCGACATTAATGTATTTATAAGTTTGTTGTATAATTATAACTACACAAGTTATTATTAAGTTTAAAAAACTTGTAAATATTGGAACTACGTGTTTAAAGCAATAAGCTTCAACATTGAAATAAAACGTAAGTGGGGAGTAATTAAAAAGTGACTCTCTTCGATGTGCAATACGATGCTAAAAATAATCTAGTCAACATATAACTTAATACGTGTATAAATATTATTTGTTAAGGTACTGCATAGATAAGATGTTCTATATAATTATTCGTTTAATTCTATACATTGTGTAGATATTACTCATTAACTCTCACTATTATCTAGTTATTTTAAAATAATCATGATCTCAATTCATTCATGTATTCACAAATTACAATAAAAATTTGCTCATCTATTTGGAGTCTTCATTTACCCAAGTCAGTAGGCATATTTGTTCAAAAATTTTGTGTAGGTATTGCTCTTCGTATACTACTGTACTACAACACATTCGAGACTCGCGACATTTGCCCTGCATTAAACAACGTTAAACAACATTTATATTCAAGGTCGCATGACTGAATCAACAATCAATAGGCTATGTCGGTGAGCTTGGTTCTCTGCCGGATCACCTCATTTCTGATGCGATCATGTAGAAAACGCCGAGCATAACTCTTTCCATAGCACGTTGAGCGACTTTGAACTTGTGGACCAGCCGCACCGTAAGTGTCCACGTTTTGGCTCCGTATGTCATGACGGATAGGACGCACTCATTAAAGACTTTCGTCTTAAGGCACTGTCGGATCGACGATGAGAAGACTCGACGTAGCTTCCAAAACACTGCTCAACCCAACTGAATTCTTCTGTTCACGTCGTCCTCGAAGTTGTTTCGACCTAACTGCAATGACTGCCCGAGGTACACATAATTTTGAACAACTTCATACATACTTGAACTTCTTCACTACATGTTCATTAAACATGACCTTGGTTTTTTCCAAGTTCATCCGTAGACCGATGCTTACTTAGTGTAATACCATAATATTATTATAACTTAAAATCAGAATTATAAGTTTTAGCAGGAAAAGTTAAAATTACAGAAAAATGTTTTTCATTGTACTAGCGACATCTGTAGAGGCATTTAATATCATAACCTTTTTACGGCGCTAGCGAGATCCGAGAGGAACAATGTGATTTGATAGTTCTGCTATCTCTCACTAGATGGCAATGACTTACATCAAAACGCCTAATCACTCATGTCTTCCTAGTACACTGCGATCGTAACTGCCTGCTCCAGATTCTCCACCTACGTTCCAAACGTTCCATTCTTGAGGCGCGCGCCACTAGTGGTCGACATCCCTTCGAATGTCAAAGGAATGTCAATAATGTAATATGATATCATATTTATTAGGTGAGATGTTTATTTATCAAAATTGTTAAATAAATATATGTTACGCTTAAATAATTTAGAAAACTATCAAATTGTTTTATATTTGTTTAATACAATTTATACAATAATAATATTTTAAAATTTAGTAATTTCATTGTTGCTTCTGCTCACTGATTTGTATACACTTTATGTACGTGTCATCATGCGTACCTATACTCTTAATTTAAAAAAAAAATATTTACAAGAAACTTATCTAATAAACGCCGCCATTTTTTATTTATGTTATTATAAACTACATCTCCTTTATAAGATTTTGTTTAAGTGATTCATAATTGATGGAAGTTGGTTTATAAATATACATTCTATAATCTAATTTTATAGTTCTTGGCAAATAAACAAAATACCTCTTTAAAGCAACCAGACAATACCAACAGTGTTTTGTTATGAGTTTGAACAGAATTGTAAAGATTTCATGATTCAGATGAAAATATTTATAGTCGTTTAATACCCACGCAGATACCCAAGTGTATTTATTATACATACCAAAGTATCTTCTGTATGTCATAAAAACTAAATATAGAAAGAAACTTAGGGACTGTTTTCTTCTCTTCTTTCTTGTTTTCTTCGTTAATACATTTTAACAAAACAAATTGTATGTTTGTTTAATTTTTAATTCGATGGTTATATTATTCACATACAAATTTATTATATATTTAATAAATAAATTTAAAATAAATTATTTTAATCATTCAACCATTTAAGAAAGTCCTAGTTAGGTTCCTCGAATATTTTGTTCAAATTCATATTCATTTATTTCAATTAGATAGTACAATCCATTAGTGTTAGTAATTGCATAATATGCTAAGTTAGTTATTTAATATGATGTCCAAATATTTAAAAATACCAGTGCCAAATTAATTAGACTCATATTCTTTTATTAAATTTGTTATTATTTATATTTTAAATTGCAAGTACCTAATATTTTAGATCATTAGTACCTATAATTTTTCAAAGATGGCACTTGTTGGTAACTTGTAAGTGTCAATTACCAGAAGAAAATTTTTAGAGTAAACTAAATTTCTTGGTCGATCAGTTTAAAATTACTAAGTATATAATTTATCCTTTACCACCTTTTCTGTTTTTCGACATCCCTATTAGCGATACTAAAATAATTGCTTTTTATCCAAAATACCACAGATTATGCTAATAAATAAAGCTTACTAAATGGTTTAGTAAATAAATTGTAGTGTGTCAGAAGATAAGCAAGTAACTCACGTCAAACGATGTCTGTGAAGTATTTTAAGCTGCTTACTCACACGCTATTTCTGTTAACATACCTTGAACCGTTCTGAAGAACGACCTATTTCAGTTTGCTGACTAAACAAACGAAAGCGATTCGAATATGACATGTGTTTCCAAAATAGTTACGAAGGGTGGGTAGTTAGACAAAGACGTCAGACACGTCAAATACATTTTGTCATCACTTTCATCATAGTTCGAAACTTAAAATATATTTGAATCATTGTACTCGTAATTAAAAAAATGTCCGATAGAGTTATTTATTTATGATAAAACGTTCAGGTTACTTCTGTGATATTCACAATAGTTTAAAATATTACTTTTTTTAATATTTAAAGATGTATGACAGAGAAAATTTAGTGCCAGGTTGAAGGCAATGCGCTTTCGTCTACAACTAAAATTATAGTTGGCAAAATGTGTGGGTATAGTTGGCAAAATTGCATATACTGCCAACCTCTTCGGGGTTATAAGCGTGTATCAATATATGATAGGGAAAGGGGACGTTAAGGAAACATCCCTGTCCTCATACGCGAAATGTAATGTAAAATAATATAATACATTGAGTTCTGATCGTGGTGTGCGTACAACAATAATATTATTGTTGTTAATACACTGTACAAACATATGCGGCAAACAATACAACACGAACTAAATTACGTCACGCGCATTCGGTGCAAAGTGCATGTATGCAGTTTAACCTTCTACCGTTTATGCTGCCCTGGTGTTCGTTCCTTTTGTCAGCGACACCAAAGGGGCCCTATCCCCTTCGAGCACCCTTCTCTGGGTCAATGCGCATCTCTCGGTCATTCACCGATATTCATCCGACGTTTTTGCTTTAAGTTGTATGCAATTCTTGTTGAGCGTTAAAACATTCTTACATATTAAATCTGAAAGCAGTAGGTACTCAAATATAAGATTTTTTTTAATAATACGTTTTTACGTTATACCTTGTATTATGACCAATTATTACCTGTTAATTTTTTGTTTAACAATTTAATATGATAGGAATCTTAAAGGCAGTAAGGAATATGGTCCTTCTCAGTAGTATGTCATACTTAACCAAAACATTACTGGTATTTTCTTAAATTCAAATAACTAACAGACAGACATAATATGCCAGTTTTCTGAATCGAAATGCATGTTTCTCTAATTTATACTCATAAATATTTTTAAGTAATAGTAAAAAGTTTGATGATAATGATGAAAAAGTTTTTAAATAAATTTAATTAACCTGAGGATTTTGTTTAGCAATTCAGCAATGCAAGTGAATTAGTAGATAAGTATATATAAATGAAAAATTTAAGTGAAATCGAAAATTGGCACCCGGATTGTATTTGAAAACGTGTTTGTCTTTGCATACAATATATTTAAAGAATGCACGGGCCAGTCCGACTGCAACAAATTCTCTTACCAGGAACTCGATGTACGAGGAATGCAGAATTTGTAAGAAGTAGTTCGATGCACAAACCTGCAGCGTAAATGCATCGATGACTGATATGACGTCATGGCACACTACTGCACTCTTGATTCGACAGCACACCAACAAGTGTGCGCGATAAAGGATATTAATGCAATCCATACTAATATCACAAAGCTGAAAAGTTTGTGTTTCTTGAACGCGCTAATCTCAGGAACTACTGGTCCGATTTGAAAAATTCTTTCAGTGTTAGATAGCCCATTTATCGAAGAAGGCTTTATATACGCTAAGACCAAGACGAGCGGAGCACCAATAAAGTATGTTTTAAAGTCGTTTTTTAAGAGCTTCCGCTAACGTAAATAGCTCCTTAACGTACGTATTATTTAAAAATATTTTCACTTTCTACGTAAGGTAGTCGCGGGTTAAAGTTAGCGTTAGCCCAAAGTAAGTATTCCACGCGGACGTAGTCGCGGGCAGAAGCTAGTTAATTACATTGCGCTACAAGACTATGTTACATAAATGAATAAACCGATTCTTTAAAGAAAATTTCTCTCTATTTATTACGGGGAAACAATAATTATATTTTTATCTTTTAAAACTATAACTTAATTTTCTCCTCCTTAATTTTCAGAGATTTGGAAATGTTTTCCTTGTAATTTCAGCTTACCTCTTCTATGTAAATGGCTCTCTTCCAATCTGCAACATGTAGGTACATTAAATCGCAGATTAAAGCCGTATGCAACACAGGTCCTACTGACTAGTACGATAGATACATTAAGTCATAGCCTCAATTGT